AAGCCCATCTGGGTGCCCATCAAGGTCCCTGCCTGGAAGGAAATTCAGGTTCCGGCCTGGAAGAAATACTCAAAGCCCATCTGGGTGCCCATCAAGGTCCCTGCCTGGAAGGAAATTCAAGTTCCCGACTGGAAGAAGATTTGGGTTCCAGAGCTAGTCAAACAATGGGTTCCCGGACCTAAACACCTAGGCAAGGACGATCACGGCTGGGAATACAAAGCACACGACATCTGGAGGAAAAAGGTCGTCTGGAAGGCACACTGGAAGAAGATCTGGAGAACTGAGAAGAAGCAAATCTGGGTAGAAAGCAAGAAACTGGAATGGAAGGAAGAATGGAAGCAAATCTGGGTCCCCAGCAAGAAGCAAATCTGGGTTGAGAGCAAGAAACTGGCGTGGAAGGAAGACTGGAAACAAATCTGGGTCCCCAAGAAGAAGCAAATCTGGGTGGAAAGCAAGAAACTGGCGTGGAAAGAGGCGTGGAAACAGGTCTGGGTGCCAAGCAAGAAGCAAATCTGGGTTGATGACAAGAAACTGGAGTGGAAAGAAGACTGGAAAGAAATCCAAGTGCCCGCCTGGAAGAAGATCTGGGTTCCTGCGTGGAAGAAGATCTGGAAGCCGGTCTGGATTTCCGAATGGTTCCCCATCCCCGAGCACAAACCTCACCACGAGGGCTGGGACCGCAAGGACAACCTCCAGCAGGCGCAGCCCCAGCCACAGCCCCAGCAGCAGTGGGACAGATCGTGGCAGCAAGCGGCGCAGCAGCAGCAACAGCAGTTCGCCGAACAGCAGAGGTGGAGGCGGCAGGACAGTAGTCCACTCGTCGCCTTCCCCCAGCAGCCCGTGCAGCAGCCTGTCCAGCAGGCTGTCCAGCAGCCCACCGAGTACCTGCAGCCTCCCGCCGCGTGAGCGCCGAGGAGCTACCACCTAGAACTAACCTGCTCAACAAAGAGTAAAGGTCTTCGGTCTCCAGCGGCCGACTGTTTTCCCCAGGCTTGAGAGGCCAAAGACCTTTGCCCCGCCAGGTCCCCTTGTGCGCAAAATGAAAACGATTTTTACTGATATTGAAAACAAAGTTACCAGACCCGTGATCAATAAATATAAAATGTCAAGGTGATACCAAAAAAACGAAAAGAAAACAAAAACAAAGGATAGACGACGATTGTCTCTCCGTATTAATTTTTGAAACCAAAATCTTAGAGTAACAAAATGTTTTGTGCCGACCTGTTGTTAATAACCTGAAACTTGTGACTGTCTTCGTGTGTGTATGTGTGTGTCTGAATGTGTGTGCGAATGTGTGTGTCTTGTACATATTGTTATGTTTGTAAACACAATTTGTTATGTTTGTTCCTTTTTAAGTAAATGTGTTTGTACAAATGAGGATTACTTCTACCTTTCCAAAAAGAACCCCAAAGTCCCGATCCAATAACATACTACACAAAAGAAAAAAACGCGTGCGCGGAGAGAGTCAAAGAAGTTACTTTTACAAGCAAGAGAAACGGCCGTTTCCTTTGTAAATCGGTTGAACAAAAATATTCGAGAGAGAGATTCCACAGAGCAATATACAATGAGTACACTCATTACCTTTTGTAATAAAAACTAAAGAAAAGTGGATGCGTGCGCAAACACATGCGGGCAGGTTTATCACCTGTACATACGCAGTGTGGGAAGATTCCCGCATTCAAATGAACATGCCCGGGAAGGAGACTTTCATCCTCGGTGCGTAACAACGCAGTCCCCGCTTGCCCCGCTGCACAACCACCACATCACAACCATCACAACCGTCCCGGCCGCACAACTCTGCTCCTCCGCTCGCGCCCAACAAACGGGGTTACCATTTTCTTGCCAAACTATTTACACACGATTGCACAACAGCAGGAAACAAGCGTGGCGTCGCGTTGGGCAATACCGGCGGCCGGCGCTCACCCCCCGGCGCGGCGGGGTCAGCCACGCCGAGGGGGAAGTAAACCGGCCGGGAACCGGCAACGCAGCTCAGCGCAGCTGGAGGCAGCCCGGACCGCGGCGGCCGGCACCGCGCCGAGCCCGCGGGTACGTTGGGCTGCCTACCCGCCGGCGCACTCCCGACACACGGCGAGGACCTCCACACTCCGAGATACAGCCCAGGACAGGACGGCGACGAGACGCGAGGTACTGTACGCAGAGAGAGGAAAACTGACGCCCGGGCTCGCCATGACCACAATGTGGACGCACGCACCGCGGGGTCGCAGGCCTGACAGCACGCGGAGACACCTAACAAGCGCAGCGTTGTTGGGGGTCATTTATGACTGTCGCAGATACGGATTCGGGGGAAGAGATAACGTGACGAAAGGCGCATCATAACACAGAAAAGATTTATTTTCGCGTTCGTCTGAGGTGACAGAGGGAGCGCTGAGCTGGCTGTGCGGACAGGATACGATTATACACGGGCGGTGGAGGATTAGGAGTGGCGACTGCCATTTAAATTGATTTTATTTTTAATCTTCAAAAATCAATGAGTAGGTATACTCTTTGACAAAATAACAAAACGTCCACCTAAGATAAAATGTATAACTGGAGTAATTGACACGATTGAAAACAAAACAGAACTTATAGGCATCCTGATTCCTGAATACTTGTTTGTGCACTTTTCGAGATACAGACACACATAGTAAATTGACCCAGGTCACGAGACAACGCGCAATAAGATGCAAAAAACAATTCTGAAGAATCTTTCCAAAATACTTTGAGACAAATAACCATCTCCCCACTGAGGTAGGTGAAACGAGATAAAACATTTCGCGACGATGTATGAGGGTGGGGAGGGAGGGGCGGGGGGAGACAGCTCAGACAGGACAGACACACCAGGACGACGCCCCCGACGCCAAGGTTGGGGATCCCCCGCAGGCCAACGGCCGCTCAAAAACTAACTGCATTCTAACCGAACGGCAGGTCAAGTGGGCGTTAATCGGTCGCAATCTGCGACGCGTCTGCCAAAGTCAGGATCGCCGAAAGGAGGCCGCAGTCGGTGAGTCGTCACCCCTTTTTCCCTGTTGAGGGTGGGGCCGTTAGCCTTGAAGGTCACTATCGCACAAAACTTTTTTCCTTCAATATCCTCGACGCACGCCCCGTATCGCGGCCCGCTGCTGCAGGTTCGTATTTAAGCACTCCCCTGGGGCGGGGGAGTCATACCACGTCAAACGCGACGACCAACATGTCCAACATGAAGCTCCTCCTGCTCCCGCTCGCGCTCAGCTGCAGCCTGGCGCGGGGTTACGACTATCAGGTGAGTTTGCCTCTCTGACCCTGGCGCCTTGCGACGCGACGAGCTAGCGACCCCAACGTCCGTGCAGTCTGACTGGAAGAGGGCGGGAGAAACAGCCACCTGCTCTAACAAGTAAAGTGTTCAACTGGCGTGCACAATGTGCACATGCAAGTGCTCAACACTATGTAGCACACTGTCTGTGAAGTGGATATTTGAATACTATTAGGTGTTTGACGGTAAAGTTGAACACTTTGAAGAGTTCAACATCAGGGTTGGACATGAAGCTTTGAACACTTTCTAGAGTTGAATTTTACAGTCAAAGACTTTACAGTTTTCAAATATCCATTCAAACACTTAAAAGTGTGTCACATATAGTGTTGAGCACTCGCATGTGGACGCCAGGAGGTGAACACTTTACAGACGAGTGTGCTGCGTCCTAACTCACAAGCTGTCCAGCCGCAGACGCTGCAGCCGGTGCAGCCGCTGGTGCCCGTGGACCCCAGCTACACGTACTCGGAGTGGCAGGCGGTGATGGCCGACCAGGCGCCGCGGCCCGAGGAGTGCGACGGCTGCGTGCCGGGCACCGAGCCCCAGCCGGGTAAGAGGAAACGGCCGCCCCGAACGGCTCGAACACGGTGCCCGTGCCGAGTGCTGTAAGACGTGCTACACCGCGTCCTCTGTGTGCGCAGCCGTGGCCGGGTCGAGCGCCGGCGCGCGCCACAGCGTCCGCATCATCGGCGGGCAGGCGGCCGCGCCGGGCCAGTTCCCGTGGCAGGCGCAGGTGCGCATGGACAACAGCTACTTCTGCGGCGGGTCCATCCTCAGCGCGCAGTGGATCCTGAGCGCCGGCCACTGCGCCAGCGGGTACGTACATCCGAGGATACCTTACACACCAATTTTATTATTTTTTCGAGTAAAATCCCGATCAGAAACATCTGGACGGCCCTACCCTTAAACGCTTAGAATTGTCACATTCATTCGCTCCTGCCCACGGTGCCGCCGACTAGGTTCTCCACGTTCGTCGTCGTACTCGGCTCCGTCTATTCGGGCAACAACCCGGACTCCAACAAGCTGGTCATCTCGTGCCGCAAAGCCATCGTGCACGAGGGCTACAACAGCTACCTGATCTCGGACGACATCTCGCTCATCAGCCTGGGCACACCCATCAGAGGCTGGAACTGTACGTTTCAACTTGCTCAGCTTGGAAGGCCGCGAGCGATCCATCCCTGCAGTACAATTTGCATGTTGAGATAAATTTCCCAAGCATTGCACTGCATCAGCAGCCACACACGGCCCCGAGCGCCCTCTATAACCCACACATGCCTCCTATTCTATGTCCAGCGGTCATCAGCCCCATCCGCCTGCCCTCCCTGTCCGACGCCACCAACACGTTCTCCGGGTGGCCGTCGACGGTGAGCGGGTTCGGCCGCTTCGGCGACGCCCAGTCCGTCTGTGAGTACTGCACCTGGCTGGGCCGCCTGTTGGGCTGCCTACCGCCACGGCGCGGCGCGCGGGTCGCGCTCGGCATTAGTCTCATGTTTATCCCCTGCTCTGCCCGCACAGCGCCAGGAATCAGCCCCCTCCTCCGCTACGTCAACGTGGTCGTCATCGACAACGCCCAGTGCGCCCAGACCTTTGGCGCGTCGGTCAGGTCCACCAATATCTGCACTTCGGGCGGCTCGAGGTCCGCACCCGTGAGCGCATGCAACGTAAGTGCAGCCAACTGTTGCTCACATGCAAAAAGAAGAATAATTACAAATGAGCGAACAAGTATTGTTTTTCCGTGTGCAACGACCCCCTTCGCCCGCCGCCCATAGCTGTGTCAGTTTCTGAGTCTCTCTTACCCCACAGGGCGACTCGGGCGGCGCGTTGGTCGTGTACCAGGGCGACGTACTAAACAAAACAGCCACCCAGGTGGGCATCGTGTCCTTCGGCTCCGGCAGAGGCTGCAACCTGAGCTACCCCTCCGCCTACACGCGCGTCACCTCCTACCTCAAGTGGATCAGCAGCAAGTCCGGACTGGCCATCTCCGCCTAAACCCATACAACGTCTATATTTGTTTTATAGTAATAATTAAAATAA